GCCCGAGAGCCGCTGCCGGCCATGCCGGGCCGGGGGAGGGGCGCGGGGAGCGGAGCTGGGGCGCAGGAGGTGCCCAAGCAGCCGGTCGTCCCGGGTCTGCGCAGCTGGGGCAGCCTCCTCCTTCTGCCCCTGAGGTACCGCGCCGGCTGCGAGCGCCGCGAGGGGCCGTAGGTACCGCTCTTTGCGCCGCCCGCCCCGTCCAGTGCGGAGCGCTCCCTGAAACGTCTCGTCTTTGATGTCCCGTATGTGTTTTGCTGTCCTGGAAACTCCTTTTGTAAGTGCATTCACTGTAACAGGTAGAATACTTATCTATCCTTTAGAGGAGGAAAAAGAAAAGTGGAAACTGGGAAGGCTTTTAGCGCCGATTTGTATCGGTGAAGATGAAGGCTGGCACTCACAATGCAGGAGCTGAGAAGGGACTGGCCTCTAGTTTCTGGGCAAAGTTTGGAGCTGTAGGTCTGTGTGTTATATAGCCTCAAGTGCGAGTAACTCTTTGCTTGACTGAAAATCAACTTGAATCCCTTGACTTCTTCAAGGCAGCTATAGATAGTGTGAGTTTTCGAGATATGAGTATATGCAATAAGGGCATATCAATCTGAGAAGTGTGAACGACTAACATGTTTGGAATGTTTTGGTTGTATTAATTCTGTTGTAACTAACTGCATCAAAAGAATAGCAAACTTGCAATGCAGAAATGTATCTGCCTTGAAATGGGAGGCATTGAAATACTGCATACTCCTCCAGGTAACCCTTAAGGAAGTAGAAAACTTGCTGTGCACGTCTATTAGGTTCATTTACAGACACTCTAAATTCATTTTCTAACATCAGATGTTACTTGCTATGAATCTTGTAAAATTCTTAAGTTGTTCATGGCAAGCAATATCCTTTGCCAACATATTTTAACCAAAAATGGAGTTGGAGAGTGTTTCTCCTTTTCTTCTAGCTTTCCTAACTACATACAGATAAAAATATTGTGTCATTGTTAAGTGACAGATGTGTTAATGATGCAAGATACATGGCATGGTTTTGAAATGCAAGTTATCATGAATATAATGAAGTTCAGAAGCGAAACCATGAGGCTTTTGAGTATAAAAGAAGCGAAACCATGAGGCTTTTGAGTATTAAGTAATGTCAAGATGACTTTTAAGTAATACATATTCATTTGATTTAGGCCTGCAGTACTTGTTACTGCAATATCTTCTCACTTTGAGATCTGCAGTCTATTACAATGTAGCTGTAACTTTTGATCCCCTGATTCCATGAATTGTACAGAATGTTACCTGGCATACCTGTGCTTCTTGTTGGGTTTTAGCTGGAACCTCTGAGTTTTAATGCGGAACACTCTGTCTCCATCGGTGAACTGATGTAATAAGAATATTGGTTGTAGGGGTATGAAGCTTGAGCATATGAAATACTTTTCCTTGAAAGGAAGACATTACAGTAAAGCTTTGCATCTCTGAGCTTAGCTTGTATCACTGGATTGTGTGATGGTTTTCCCTCCCTTCTTCTCAAAAGAAACCTAATCTGATCACACGGTATTTATTGGAGAAATGCAGAAACAGAATGGGTTTCTTCCTGCAACTTGCTGATGCCACTGTTTTTTTATTTTGGGCTGTGGATTTTGGAAGCCTCTGGTTTTCTTTTAAAGCCCATTAGCTAGGTAAAAGGAAAGACTGCTGAATTGTATTTTGCAGTGTTAATTCACAAAGAGTAAATAGAGGCAGTGTATGTAATCTTAGGTACTACTTTTAAGAAAGATTGCCTTTCTTGGTAGAATACAGCTTTGACTACACTAGGAAAAATACAGAAATAAAGTTCTGTCTATGAGTTGTTCTCAGTGCATGATTTCTAAGCATAAAGATGATCTGAGAAACTGCAGCTCCACAGAAGCGGGAATATTTGTGTAGACAGGATATCTGATTGCTAGCCTTCTAGCTACTTTACAAGTTGGTGTAGCAAAGATGGAATTGCCAGTATAATGGAGATGGTCAGGTGGCTATTAGCACTTTGGTCTCTGATTGGGTTGCTAGTGTAGCATGGAGACTGCTAAGCGTACATGATGGTAAGTACTGAGCAGCAGTGATGT